TCTTTTTAGTGCTGAATGATATTCCATTTTCTGAATGCTCTACAGTTTATTTATCCATTCAACTACTGAAGATAAACTTAGTAGCTAGCCTGTTTTGGTGATTATAAATAAAGCTGCTATAACATGTGCCCTTTTTTTGTGTGTGTGTGTGTGTGTGTGGACATAAGTTTTCAACTCCTTTGGTAAATATAAGGGAGCATGATTACAGGATTATATTAGTAAGTTTGGTTTTGTTAGAAACTTTCAATATACTTTCCAAAGTGTGTATCATTTTGCATTCCCACCAGCAATGAAAATTGTTGTTTTTCCACATCCTTATCAGCATCTGCCATTGTCCTGATGGATTTTGGCTATTTTAATTTGATATTCTGGATTTTGATGTCTCACTGTTGTTTTTTTTTTTCTGATCACATACGATATAGAGCATGTTTTCACATGTTTGCCATCTGTACATTTTCTTTGGTGTTTTTTCTTATTTTGGTGCTTTTGATAGCAAAGTTGTTTATTTTCTTATTGTTGAGTTTTAAGAATTCTTAATATATTTTGGATTCCAGTCCTAATCAGGTATATTTTTTGCAAATATTTTATTCTGTTCTGTGGCTTACCTTTTTGTTCTCTTCGTGGTGTCTTTCACATAGCAGAAGTTTTGAAATTTAATGAAATTCAGTTTATCAATTCTTTGTTTTATGGGTCACTCCTTTGGTATTATATCTGAAATATCACCAAACCCAAGGCCATATAGATTTTCTATAAACACTTTTATATAACTATTAATATTTTTCTTTTAAAAATGTTTTTATTAGGACATTGCAGTTATGCATGCTAGTGGGGTTCATTTTTGTATATTCATAAATGTATGTAGCATAATTTGTTCATTTCAATCCTCAGTACTTCCCTTTCCCTCCCCTTCCACCTCCCTCCTCTTATATTCTTCATTTATTCTATTGGTTTTCCTTCTTTTTTTAATTGTTTTTTAATTGGTGAATTAGAGTTATACATAGTAGAGTTCCTTATGGTATATTCATATATGCATATAGCATTGTTTAATCAATTGCATTCCACATTTTCTCCCACTTCCCATCTCTCCTCCTTCCCCTTTGATCTCCTTTTTCTAGTCCACTGTTCTTCCTTCTAATTATCCAATCAATAAATGGGCAAATATACTAAAAAGACATTTCTTAAAAGAAGAAATATATTTGACCAATAAATATATGAAAAATGTTCAACATCCTTAGCAATCAGGGGAATGTGCATCAAAACTACACTGAAATTTTATCTCAGTACAATTAGAATGGTAAATCATCAAGAATGAAAATAACAATAACTGCAAGGATGTGGGATAAAAGGCACACTCATGCAGTGTTGGTGGTACTGCAAATTATACTTTGGGAGCAGTATGGAGATTCCTCAAAAGACTAGGAATGAAACTGCTATGTGACCCAGCTGTCCTACTCTGTATCATTTATCCAAAAGAACTAAAATCAGCGTGCTACAGTGATATAAGAATACTAATGTTCATAGCAGTACAATTCACAATAGCCAAGTTATAGAGCCAGCCTAAGTGCTTGTCAACAGATGAACGGATAAAGAAAATGTGGTGTATAGACACAGTGGAGCTTTACTCAACCATAAAAAAGAATGAAATTATGTCATTTGCTGCTGAATGGATGGAACTAGAGAGCAATATGCTGACTGAAATAAGCCAGACTTAGAAAATCAAGGGTCAATTTTTTTTTCTCATATGCAAAATATAGAAACAGGAACTATTAGTCATTTTCTTGTGAAATTCCACATGTACATTTGTTTTTAGTTTTGCTTAGTGTGTATATAAATGCATATATATATAATTTATAAACATATATATATATATGTCTTCATACAAACAATTTTAAAATTTTTTCATGAATATATTTTTTATTACTTCTGAATTTTGTAGCCAGGCAAATTAACAACTAGGTGGGTAAAAGAAATGCATTAATATATTGTTTTATGGCACAATATACTATCATGTAATGATTTCAAGGTTTATTCTTGTAATTAAGGAAAAAGCAAGGTTCACAATAATGTGTATAGTATGCTACTTTTTGTGATACAATAAGGTGTATGCATACATATGTATGTGTGTATGCGAGCATGTGTACATGTGTGTAGATGTATCCATAAATGGGTACTTATGCATAAATTCATACATATTTGCTTATTTTCCAAAAGGACATAAAGGAAAAGAAAAGGATAAACCACAAATTAATTAAAATGGTTACCCGTAGGGAGAAGGAGTAAGTATGATAGACTTAGGATTGGAAGTAAGATTGTTTACCCGAATATGATCCTATTTTATAATTTTTCTTTTGAAAACATGTAACTACTTCCCATAATGATAAATAGGATTAAAACTAAATACAGGAAATCCTAAAAATAACAAAAAGCTAAACAAATAAATTTAACTGTATAGCAAGTTGTTGACTTAGTTCCACACATTCTAAAGCATAGGGATACACCATGTCTCACCTTTTCATTGCTGAGTCAAAATACCTGAGAAAAACAAATTAAAGAAGGAAAGACTTATTTTGGTTCATGGTTTCAGAAGTTTCAGGTTATTTGTGGCTGGCTTCCAGGCAAAAACATTTAGTGGAGTAAAACTGTTCATCTCATGGCAGCTGGGAAGGTAGGAAGTTGGGAGGGAGGGAAGGAAGGAGAGAGAAAAGGGGTGGAGGGAGATAGACAGATGCAGGGAAGAAGGGGCCAGAACAAAATATGCTCTTCTAGGAAATGCCCCCAGTGACCCACTATCTCCAACTAGATCCTACCTCCTACAGGTTCCACTACCTCCCAATAATGCCATCAGATTATGAATACCTCAATGGATTAATCAACTGATGAGGTCAGATCCCTCATGATAGAATTATTTCCTAGGAGTTCCACTTCTCAACTTCGCTGCATGGGGGTCAAGCCTTCAATACATGAAACTTGAATGGACTTTTCAGATAGAAGCCATAACATTATTATATAACCGTTGAGTTACATGTTAAGGTGAAAAAAGGGAACAAAGTTACAGTATTTGGTATTTTAGTAATATTTATATTTTTATTTTAAAGCTATGTCAGATTTCATAGTAAAGTAAATAAGTGGTCATGTTAAAATCTCCATGAAGCAAAATTTTTAGCATAAAGCAAATATGTGCACATATTATGTCACAGTCTGTTAAATTTATATATACATGTAATTAAATTGAAAAAAATCAGTAGAATGTGATATATATTTTTTCTTTTCTAAAAATATTTGCATCTTCTAGTTCAGTCCAGTGAAAAGAGGTAGAAATATGCAAAGCACCCTTGTGGTCACCATTCATAGGTCCAGTCTTTAAATACAGTTTTCCACTAAGATATGCCAGTCTTTTTGAAGAAATATATGACTCTAGTTCTGGGGTAGAATATATAAGACAGAAGGCTGGGATATCATTTCATAACAGAAAGCAGCAGTGTTAAGAAAGATATTGTGGTCATTTCCTAGGAACCAGTTTGAAGAGGCTATCATTGACCAGAGATGGGAGAATTTTAACAAGAAAAACAGACTTGTTAGGGATGAAAACATAAAATATGGTCAAAAGCTGCAAATCATAAGGACAAAAACAAAACAATATAAGCAAAATACTGCATTAGTCACCTTTGAAGGGCTGGAAGATTTCATCATTGTTTTAAAATAAAAATAGTAGGATATTGCTTTGTCTTATTCTTCCTGCAAGAGCCTTATTTCAAAATAAGTAATTAATGAGAGAAATTTCTTGTTTGAAAAAGTCTGTAGTAAATGAAGAAAGAATAACTGAATTGGACTACCACAAGTTTAAAATTTTTATTAATTATAATATCTTGGGGATTAATGTCTTCAGGTAAAACATGATAGGGAGCCTTAAATACACCAATCCAGCTAACAAAACACAACCCCATCAATCAAACTTAAGGACAGAAAGACATCCAGTTATATGCCAACTGATATGATACAATAAGAAGTGTACTTTTAAAAAAATGGAACTGTTCAATACCACAGACTTTAACTACCAGTTTATATGATATATAGGAAATGCAAGGAACATACGAAATGGCACTTTAGGACTGCTTTTAGCTAAATCTGGAATGCCATAAATTTAGGTAGATGATACATTTTCTTTAAGCGGTAATAGGCAGGAAATAAAAAGAATGAAAAATTGTTAGATCCAAAAATAGAAACAAAATATCAACCAAATGCAATATGTATACCTAGTTTGGATTCTGAATTGAAGAAATCAACACTGCCGAGCCTTTGAAATAATTCGGGAAATTTAAAAAATGACTAAATTTTCGATGATATTAAGTGTTAATTTTTAATATGTGATGTTATTGTCTAACAAGTTTGAATATTTACCAGTGAAATCATGTATTATCTGGGATTGCTTTTAAATAATCCTCTGAGGGTTTAAAAGGAGAAGACTGTTGATGGTGGTGGGCATTTACCTTAGAATATGAGTATATAGGATTTACTGAAGTATTTTTTCATGTTTGAGTGCTTAAAATTTCTGTGATTACTTGTTTTTAATTAAAAACTAAGTTACTTTTATTTTCAAAACTAAAATGGAAGGCATTTCATGAATAAATCATCAACATAGGAACTTTCAGAATTTTAAACCTGAAAGCCTGAAGTGTATATTCCATATATACCTGCAAGAAAATTGCACAATTTATTTAGCAATGATGCTCTATTTGATCTTGACCCAACACAGGCTTATCTTGAAGTTAGCATTCACAGGTTGATCTACACTCTAGAGAAACTATTGAGGTAAATCTAAAGCTATATATTCTCTCTTGTTTTTTGGTGTTCCCCCCACCCGCTACCGGAGTACTAGGGATCAAACCCAGGGCTTTGAGCATGCTGTACAAGTGCTCTACCACTGAGCTACATCCCTGGCCCTGCTGTGTGTTCTTTCCATCATGTCTGCTTCTCACCACATCCCAATATTTGTTTTGCAGGTACAGCAGGTACAGACTGTGCAGCAGGTACAACATGTCTATCCAGCTCAGGTGCAGTATGTGGAAGGAAGTGACACTGTCTATACCAATGGGGCAATGTAAGTTTGTATGTGGGCGTCTTTGTAATTTCCTCACTCGGAGAGAAATAGTTTACTTTCTAACACATTTCACTCTTTCCAAATTGTTTCCTTGTTTTCACAGTTATTTTTTTTTTTTTACTAGAACAAAATTATTGAAATTAAACTGATGTTTAGAGCTTTCATAATACTTTATGAAATCTATGATATTTGTTTTATATATAAGTTGAGTTTCTGTGGGTATGTATTTACCTGTAAATTAGTATGAAACTAGCATTAGAAGTTTTGTGAGTCTTTGTACATTTACTAAGTTAGATATTCTATATAAAGCTGCCTGTTACTCAGTAAATTTTATTTTCCTGTCTGTATCTGCCCACTAACTTATCTCCTTTGCATTAACAATAATGCAAATTAGCAAATTCATTAGATTTTCCTCTACTTTGGATTAAGAGTCAGAATGTTTCTATAAATAAAGGGGTTAAAAGTTATTAAAAGTCATCATGATGGTCTTCAAGTTGAGTTTTGATTACAACTTTTGGCTTTCTGGATTTACCTGAAAATGAATTCAATCTTTCATTGACTTTTCTGCTCCCTTCCCTTCAGACTTGGTATATGCCAGGATGATAACTCTGCTTTCTTTATTCCTACTGATCTACTCTTTCCTTGAGTGATTTCATTGATCTCCATGATGTTAACCTATAAGCTCTATGCCTGACATGAAGAGGTCAATTGTTGTTGCATATTATTATAACTAAAAAATAGAATCTTCATATAGCTATGCATTAGTTTTATTATTGTGGACAATGTACTTAAATGTTCTAAACTTTCTATTATTCATTTCATGGAAGTGGGAAGATAGTTTTCTCTTATTGAGTTATTTTGAGAATTTGAAGAAATATATTTAATGTGCTTAACACAGAGCCTGGGTACATAATAAATGATATATAACAGAAACAAAGCATTTATTTGACCTCTCTCTTGTTTCTTACTACTTTTGGTAACTGAGTAGTAGTGTTCAGAAAGCCACTACTCCTGTCTTCACCGTCTACCTGTCCCTAATATAGTCAACTTTGTGCATTTTCCCCAATACTCTGCTTTCATTCGTCCATGTTTTTGGAGATTTTTTTTTTTCTCCTGATGAAATAGCATTCTATGTATTCTTCGTTCTTTCCAGCCCCTCTTAGCCCTGAAGTGTGATTTTTACAGACTCCCACTACTCCCACTTTTGTGGCATGGACCTTCACTCTCCTCTGCAATAAGCTTATCATTCCACTATAAAGGACAGTACTATATGGTGATTTGACCTCCAGCATTACACTGTGATGATTGCTTTTTTATGTTTCATGTACCAGGAAGAACTCTCTCTGAATGGGAACTTTTTATTTTGTTGTTCAGTTTACATTTACTTAGGTAGTTGAAGCTTAAGAAAAAGTTGATAAATTTCTGTTACTCTGGTGAAATCAGTAATTCTTGGCATATATTAGACACACTGAATATTCTTACCTATAGGTGATGTAGGTCCAGGGCCTTTTGGAGTATGGTTTTGGAATTTCTATTATAACCCCAAACTACTGTTGATGTTCATACCAAATAAAAGAAATGCCTGCCAGTTGTAATTTTATCAGAGGAAATAAATGGCTTTCTGAACACTACTAGAGGCCACTCCTTTGTCAATTTCCATTTTTCCTTGTTTATGACATATAGTAATGATTATAGGGAAATATGAGAATAGAAGTTTATAGATTTCACTTCTGTATGATAGAAGGGGCAAGCGAAAAGGGCACTATCTGTCACAGTCATTCTTCGTTTTGTACTGGTCCAAAGCAGGGTGGAAAGATTAACTCTACCACTCATGAATGCATGACTTTGTGCTTCCCCTTTTTATATGCAAAATGGAGATAATTAGCTTTTGAAAAGTGCTTTATGTACCATCTGAGAAATAGTAAGCACTCAATAGACATTAATTACTGCTGTTCAGTTTTGTATTTTAGTTATTTGTTTACATTTTCTATTCTCCTTGTGATTATAAATTCTGAATATTGTCTTGTGCTTTTTAGAACTACCCCACCACTGACCTTAGAGTTCTCCATATGATAAGTAAATGTGAGTTGAATGAATTTATTCATTCCCAAAACCTTAGAAAAACAGCATCTCTAAACTTGGTACTTTAAAATTATAGGAACCATTTAAGCACAGAAATGATTCAAAGTAAATATCTAGTGCCAGCATGTATTTTCTATGGTCCACTAGTTTGGTTGGTTAGATCATGACTAATGAGGGTCTAGGTCATGAGTTCATTTGTCACAAAGTCCAATTAGCTTTGATCTGGTCTTTGTGGGCCCACATTGCAAACTCAGCTGCAGCAATTATGTCACAAATCTGTACTCTTAGTCAAGAAGGAGAAGATGCATCTTTTTCAATCTTTTATTACTATGAATTATAAATTTTGAATAGAGGTGCAGTAGAATTGCTTTTATACTTAATAAGGAAATATCATTGTGCTGGCATTAGTTATATTCAAAATTTTAGTGACTAGAAGACTATGAATATTTTTTTCTCAAACATGACCAAATATAATTTCTTCTTTTTTCAGATTAAACTGTTCCAATTTTCTGTAATTTCGTAGTGCTGCCATTTGACTACGAAATTTTTATCTCTAATGCTCATTTTAGACTCTTTGTAATCCTTTTTTTAATTTATTTTATTCTTTACTAATATACTTCTATGTATATTAGTAAAGAATAGTGCCATGTTCTTCTATTCTATACCATTGAATTTATAAACAGCCAGTATTTAAACCCTGACTGGGATCACAGAGTCCCATTTCTATGTGATAATAAACACTGTTTGCTAATGATACTCCCATAAGATAGAGACTCTGATCTTTATCATGAACTTTCAAGCACCCAGTATACAACCTGTTCATGCTTAGTCAGTACTGGTTCATTGATGCTCTTGTCACCAGCATTCTCACATTGTGTAGCCATAATGCATGGGGTCTCTCTCAAGAGGTGATGACAGCCCTCACAGATATGTGTCATTGCTTGTGAGAATATGTAGTCATTATAATTTGATGATACTACAGTGTTTACCTGGTTCTCACAGTGAATATTGACAATTGCTGCCAGTGTAACAGGCTTAACAGTATGAGTTCGAGTGAGCATATATTTCAATTGAACAATTCAGACTGCTTTACAGTGCTAGGTGTTAGAGTTGCATAGCTTTTTACTCAAGGGAGAAGGTTACTTAATTCCCTTTTGCTCCTGTTTATTTTATCCTTTGTTTATTTCCTTGCAATAGTTTTTCCCAGGAGTTTTTTTCCAAAATCTAAATTATGGTCATCTGCATTTCTACAAATAATTATCATCTATAATCTCTTATTGCGTAGAAAGAATGTTATGGTTAAACCTGCCAAGGAATATCACACACATAGAGTCTATTTCAGTTAAAATCTCATAGTGTAGTTAAGAAATCAGTTTTAAATAAAATAATTTTTCTTCTTTCCCCCATGCCATTTATTGACTCATACTTCCCCTACTCATTCCTACATTGTGCTAGTCAAAGTGGAAATAATGATATCATGCAGTATCGTGGCCAAATTAAGAAATCTTTATTTCATAAGAATTTTTCTGTATTAGCCACTCTCTGAAGCTTGTCTTACTATTTAGAGACGATCAATGTAAAGTATAAAACTGTTCATCATATTAGTATCTGTTGTAATAAGGATTGGCCAGCCTTCTCACAGTCTTCCCTTGAGATTATAGATTTGTCATCAGTTCTAGTACAAAATTTCCCAAACCATGATCACAGAATTTTAGTCCCATAAAAGAGTCTGTGGTTAGAGAAGCAGTGCCACACTGAGACTACCTTCCTCTTGAGGACCCTCAATTCCTGTTAGACTTTAAAAAGCTCTGAGAAGTCCTATAGAAAAGAAACCCAGTATTCGAAAATATGAACTTTTTATCTGAATAGTATCTATAATATCCCTCAGGCCACCGGAGATGGTACACTAATTATTGACATTGGTAGCTTATTCAGAATCTGTAAGTATTGTGAACTGGACTCTAATTTTTTAGAGTCATCTTTTGAAAATCATGTAGTTAGCACATTTTCAGAAGGTATCCTGCCTCTTTAAGCTCTTTTTACCCTCTTTAAGCAAAATAGTAAGTTTCAGTATTTGCAGAAGAAGTTGCACTATTTTATAATATTTCAAATGCTCTCTGATTAGAAGTGGTTGTATGGAATTTCTGCAGTTGAGATAGAGAGGATGCTTTCTTCACTTGTGCTTCTACTAATATACATTCTGATAGGTATAAGAGAAGTGGATTGTGAATCCAATGCCATTTAGATTCCAGTAGGCATATGGCTGGTTACATAGGAAGCCCTCTTGGAGACAGCACTGTCCTTCAGTAGAGAAGAACATGTAGTTAGGGAAAGACCTATTTTAATGATCACATAAATATTCCCATCACTCCAAAGATGGAAGACATTCAAATATCTTAGAATTGACATAGTTGTTTTCTAGTTCTTCCACTTTACAGATGAGTAAGCTGAGTCCCAGAGAGGTGAAATATAATCTCACCTTTAGAATTTGTCTTTTCTGACCTTCAAAACATGATCCTTTCCATCGATTGCAAATACTGGTCTTTTGATTCTAAGTTACTTTGGACTTAGTGGTACAAGGACTGGTCAGCTAAAAATACTTTTAGTAAATATTATATGCAATATAATATTATTTTATCTGATGTGGATAAATAATAATTAAACTTCTGAATTTTTAAGTGGCTAATTATAAAGACTAAAGGATCTGTTGTTATCAATCTCTTTTCATGTTTCTTTAAAAATCCCATTGTATATGTATGTTTTTATAGCTAAATTAATTTTGTTAAAATAAAGCATTCTTTGGGTTAGGGATGTAGCTAGCCTGCACAAGATTCTGGGTTCCATCTCTAAAACCACAAAGTAAATAAATAAAATAAATTGTTTTTTTGGGTAGTCATAAAATGTGTAGAAAAGTCCTT